TCCCTCCCTTTCCACCACGACGAGACTTCGATTGGGATTGGAGCAAGGTCAACGCTGCATCAAGAGCTGGACAGAAGTCACATCTACCGTGCAGCCACTACTTTCCGGAAAGTGTGAGGGGGTGTGAGCTTCCAGGCAACGAACACGGACTCCGCACCCCACCAAGAGACATGAATGGCATGAACGGCAATCCACTATTAGCATCGAATGCTGAAGGAACACAATATAAGCGTGTGCCAGTCGTTGCATCAAATGCTCCTCCCTACCAGCCATCTCTTACTACCCTCGACAACTCAAAGCAATCCAGCAACCGTCAGCCTTTCTACAATTCTTACTACTCTGCAACCCGGCCCCAAAGTCCGGTGCTACCTAAGAAGGATCATACGGCGCAGAATGAGCAGACGGCTCGACGAAGGGCATCGAACGACAGCAACTCCATCGCTTCCCACCTTCAAATACCTGCATCGATAAATGACAGCAAAGGCAGCTTGCCTGAATTCGCAGCCCAGGTGAGACAATCGACCTTCTTGTTCCCCGTAGTCGTTTATACTGACAGTGCCCAGATAACCTGCTTTTTCTGGTTCGAGTCCTATTCTACCCTCCGTTTGGTCGAAGATGCACCCTATGTCCCTAACCCAACAGGTCTACTCGTATCTGAGGCAATGCCTACCACAGGGTTTCGAAAATGGGTGACGACCATCCTTTCGATGACTCAGGTCTCTCAGAATGTTATCCTTCTGGCTTTGATGTTCATTTACCGGCTGAAGAAGTTCAATCCTGGAGTGAAGGGAAAGGTTGGGAGCGAATTCAGACTTCTAACCGTTGCATTGATGCTAGGAAACAAATGTACATCCGCTTTGCTCTCAATGCAGTTTACTGTACAAAGGCTGACAGATTTGCAGTTCTGGACGACAATACATACACCAACAAGACTTGGGCAGAAGTATCAGGCATCTCTGTCCAGGAAATCCACGTTATGGAGGTGGAGTTCTTGAGCAATATGAGATACACTTTATTTGCCTCTGAGGAAGAATGGAAGGCATGGCATGTGAAGCTCGGCAACTTCTCTGACTACTATGACAAGGCATCTCGTTTCCGAATTGAGAACATGGCTCGCAATATGCCTCTACCAACGCCCCAGTTCAGTGGACACCCACATCTTCCATCGCCCCCAGCGTCACAGAACACTTCGCCGCCGTTCATGACAAACCCATCACCAGGGCATCCAGCACTCCCTCATCCACTATCCGTACCTCCATACCTCGCACCCAACATACCTTCGCCTGCGTTGCCGATGCCGGACGTTGACCTGAAACCCTGGTCGCGAAAGCGAAGCCTTGAAGACCACAGCTTGGAACCACCGGCAAAGAGGCTGTCTTCGTTGAATCCTTCGGCAGCTTCAAGCACGACTTTGACTCCCTCTACGGTGAAGAACACCACTCCACCTGTACCAAGGCTACCAATGCCGAATCTTTCAATATCCACAGGAAGCCAGCATGGCTCGTCCCCAGCACAGCTGCCAATGCCTTCAGGAAGGGCAATGTCGACTGTCTTCCCCGGGCCCAATCGCTGGCCGCAAAATGGTACGCTGCCGTCACTTCAGTCTTCAACCTACTTTAGCCAGACTGGCAGTGCGAGAAGTGGTTCCCCCTTAACTGGGCAGCCCAATAGGCAGTCTCCGTACGCCACTGGCCCCTCAACTCCTTCACCAACCTCTTTCCACTTTCCTCAAAATGCGCAGACGCCAAATGGTCTCTCACCTTCGGGATTCCCGGCACCAAGGAGTTCGCCATACAAACCTATTCGACGTGTAAATACGCTACTGGTTCCACCACCATCAGCGTCTCTACAAAATCAACCTCAAAATGTCTCATACGATCAAATGCACTATCAGCCACTAGGAAAACCTATCAGCGAGCAGAGACGAGGCGTCTTGCCATGTCTGCCCTTCGAGACCTGGTCGCAGGCGCATCACATGCATGATCAGAATTACCTTCCCCAACCGAATTTTGCCTCATAAGGCACCATCGGTCAAGCGTTATTTTTTCTATCCGTGCTCTTGGCTTGAGCAAAGTGCTTGCTCAAATCGTCTCGACACGGTCTTGCATTTTTTTGAGGTCATTTATACTTGCATAGCGTGGCGCTTCTACCCGGGACAACAATAGCATTTTGGCATTGCAGCGAGCTGCCAGCTTTAACAGAGCGTGCCACGGCGTTATTTTGTTGGATTCGGCTACTATTCGAAATCCTAGCATCTCTAACCAGCTTGTAAATAGAGAGACACTCATATTTTCCAATTCCTGATGCAGAGCCTCCTTGAAAAGGGCCGATGTCTACACGGGTCTCAACCATGGCTCTGGAACAAGGTGAGGTGGATCTGGGCTAGAGAGAAGCCGAGCTCCATTGTCCCAATACCTCGTGCTGTGTTTCAGCGACTACGACGTTTTCGTGGAGAAAACCAGAGATCTCTGCCTAGATAATCTTGAGCCACCAATTGGAATGTCTAGGATGGCGGCATGGCTTTCTATGTCTGAGTGGGTTGCCTCTCCTGTTGATCCCAAGTTTACATTTTCTTGCTCCTCCGGTCAACAGCACCTTTAGACCAAAGCAATTCCTGTTCCCCCGAGTCTACAAACCACTCACCCAGTCACCCACTGCAAAACATAAAATCTGCGGTGCATAAGCGCGAAAATCGGGCCAATCACCGTAAGCGCTGCGGGATGACGCAACTGCAACTTCGACGCCAAGCAACAACCTCTCCCACGCCAACAATGCAGGTCACCGCACAGCATGCACAAGACTTTACTCCTTCACAGATGGCTTTAAGGTATCTCCATAACTGTACCTACTGATTCAGGCTTTCACTGATTGATAGCAGGGCGGTGACGATACCTTCGGCGGCTTCCCAGGTTTGTCCTAAATCTCCAAGTCGCGTCGCTTCAAGTGTTCTTCATAACCCCTTTGAAGACTTTGTAGTATCTCTAGAAATTTTGAACTGTCTTGTTTGAGAGTATGATCCTCAGACTGAAGCCTAGTAATTTGCGAGTCGCGTTTCTCCAACCATTTCTGAAGCATGGTAATCTGTAAGTCGCATTCCCTCGAGAGCTTCACTGGGACTCGTGCTCGCTTTGATGCTTTGATTGTTTGACGTCTTCTTGCGTCGATCAGTGTGGGTTGAAGCCTTCTTTTGAGCGTGTAATTCCTGCCTGAGCGCAATCTCCTCAGGTTTAAGAGGATCTATTCGCTTCTCGAATTGTATACATCTGTCTCCGTCTATCGCCCGCAGCACTTCGTGTTTTACATTGAGCTTGGTGTAGTCTTGATCCCTTTGACTTCTTCCTTCGATCTGCGCAAGGTCAGGTTTGAGAGTGTTATTCTGAATACAATTTTGATCGGGCACTCTATGGGCGGCATAGTTGCAGCGGACACCCTCCTTACCATAATGTCTGACTCGTCTGTTTCGTTCTTCTCCGGTATCAATTCGGACCCGACTGATCCTCTTCCGTCCACCTCCGCACATACTCAGAAGACGACGTCAAAACCTGCACAGACAAATACACAGAAATCTTCACGTCCTTCCACTCCGCAGCCGCAGAAGGGTTATCGCCCTTCGACTCCCCGCCCTGACGGCTCATCGTTCGTGTTCCCTTATATCCAGGGTATGCTCGCCTTCGATAATCCCTACCTCGGCATCTCTCCAGGTGCCGTCGCCCACGGTGCTGAAGCGCACTACAAGAATGCTTCGACCGCCTATAGTGCAATCTCCGAAGTTGCTGGCGTCCTCGAAAATGGCTCCTCCAACAATAAGAACACACCTAAATCACCACAGCAGCAACAGGCAAGTCGCAAGTTGCTGACACAAGGTGCCGACGCCATGTCCGCTTCAATGACGAATGCCACTGGCGATGCAGCGACCGTACCGGCTTGGCAGAAATGGGAAAAGTATCCTAGGTTTGCAGGTGCCGCCGGGGCAGTCGCTGCTGGAGGGGCGGCGGCGTATTTGAAGAGGGATACAATTATTGAAGGCTGGTTCTTCATTGGGTCTCATCTTGAGTTCGGGGGACGTCTAGCTAAGGGGAAAGAACTGAAAAGCCGGCTGGAGAGTATAGCCAAGCTGAATAAGGAGCGAGGCATCGGCTTCGCAGACCTCATCACCGGCCTCGGAAAGGGTGCTTCTCAGCAAAAGAAATCAGGCACCCCACTCGCCGGCGGTTTCGTCGAAATCGGCGCTGTCGAAGGCATGGCTCCGAACGGCAGGACTTTTTGTACCAGCCCCAAAAGCGAAAAAAATAGGAAGTTCTTCGAGGAAGCAAAGAACGACAAGGCGAGCGATGAGATGCAGGCTCATATGAATATGTTCGGCGCGAGTGGGAATAGTGGATATTTTGCGCTGTGTGAGAGGGCGAAGGTGTTGGTTGCGAATTGGGTGGGGCCCGAAAAGAGTGCGTGGTATGAGGAGAGTACGCCTCTGAAGGCGACGGCGAGCAAGGAGTTGGAAGACGTGGAATTAGGCGATGGGCAGAAGGCTGGGGAGAAGCCTGTTGTTGTTGAGAAGTGACGCTAAGTATGAGGTTTGAACTGATGAGGTGGGTCCCACGATCGTGGAAGACATACGTCTCTGGCCAGGAGTTCTTGGACTTTACGAGAAAGATGATAGAAGGAGTGGCGTAGATGGATGATACCCGTGCGATGATTTTGGAAATACTCGTTCCTAAACGAGTAAACCCAAGCTCACTCACTGTCGGGATTCAGGATTACCACTCGCCGAACCGTGCAGAGGGACTCAATGGACGGAGAGAACTATTGGCTACGCTGTGAGAGGTCTCTTCTGGCATCTCGATGCCGGAACTTTCGAGCCAGACAGAAGAGGCCGTCTCAGGGGCCTCAAACGCTAGAGCAATTATGCTCACAAATGCGTTTCTTGAATCCCAAATTGGCCTCCCCCCTTAGCCTTGAATGCTCATTACATGCAGTCGTCTCACATGTTCTAATCTGCCATACTATCGCCGTAGACTATCCAATCGAGCTTGGAGATCATCATCGTCTGTACTACCTCCACCGCCACCTGGTCCTCCTCCTCCTCCTCCTCCCCCGCCTATAGCTTCTGCGACTCGGCCGTCTGAGACTGCGGTCTTCCGGAGGCCGGAGGGTGTTTCGCCCATCTGCATTAAAAAAGTAAATCAGCCATCGGCCCTGTCTCAAAGCCCAGATACCTGCTCCCTGGATCCCACCCTAAGAGTACGCATACCGCCTGGCCCAAATCCACCCCAATCTCATCAAGTAGCTCCTTCACCACCTCCTCTCCTTCCTCCTCATCCTCTAACCCGGTCACGTCGTCTATCGCATCGTCCATCATCTCTTGTCTTTGATCCATGATGTCGTTTTCCTTTTCGAATTCCATGGCTATGCGTTGTAGAGCAGGGAGGTTCATTTGCCGGTTCATGGATCCGAGGAGGGAGGTGGCGCCTTTCATGCTTTGCATCATTTGCTCGTTGGAGCGCACAGTTTGGATGCGGAGGGATATAGCTTGTAGTTGGGTGCGCATGGAGTAGAATTTTTGTATGTATCTAGGATGGGAGGGAGAAGGTTAACTTCCGACGGCGTCTCGAAAACCGTCTGAACCATTAAAGGCAGAGATATCAGAGGGAACGTTGAGGTACACACCTCCTCGTCCTGACCAGATCTTTTGCTTGGATTTTACAGGCTCCCATTTGCCCATTCTTTGCGCTCTTCTTTATGTCTTGAACGAGCTTCTTCTCTTGATTCTCGAGCTTTACTCGCTCACGGTCGAGCTCTCTTTGTGTCTTCTCTAGAGCTCTCTGGTGTTTGCGTAGTCTTTCTGCCGGCGTCATACGCTTCCCGAAGGCCCATTCGACGATCTGGCAGAGAGATTAGCTGTGAGCTTTAGATTTGAGCGGGGGGTTAAGAAGGGGGGCTACTTACATTCATGTTGGCGGACAAAAACTGTTGCTGGGAGGAGACGGACGCGGGAGGATTGAGGAGGAATAGGAGAAAAAAAGAAGTAAGTTCAATTGGATAGAAGTACACTAGGAGCTTGCTGCCTTGCGAAGCTGTTGAAGCTTGATAGACCGCGGCCGGATGACGCTGCTTTCTAAAAGGCGCTAGCGGCGGAACATGCCATTGGAAGGACGGCGGCGAATCATTTTCGCAAGCAATGACCAACAATGAACTCTTTCCATCACCACCTACCGAATTTTTTGAGCCTCACGTCTTCCTTACCGCTTTGATATATTCCTGATCATGAGTCAGGACCACCATCCTCGCGATGGCTCCGCTGGCTCTTCCTTCGGTCGCTCCTCACCTACTCCCTCATCTCCACATCCACGGACGCCGCGTTATATGACAGTGGGCAATGGGTCGACTTCAGCCAGCGCGGCAGCATTAATGTCGACACTCGACCACGACTCAGGCTATGGATCAAGTATTGCTGGCGACAGCTATACTAATGATGGTAGCAAAGGGTGGCATCCAGGACTAACATCAGATCAACCCACACCAGAATTTACTTCGAGAATACCTGACGAGATGAATCCAGATGCAGACAAAGATAGGAGGATAATGGCCAGTCATGTCCACCAGCTATACTACAACCAAAACCGCGCTGCGCTCGGTCGCCAGATTACGAAGACCGTGGAGACCCTTAAGGGTCTACAGCAGATGAACTCGAAATGGCCTGCGCAATACCCTTCTGTACGAGAGCCCCAAAAGCCAAAGTCAGATCCTAGACCCGGCTTCGCACATACTCAATCAACCGTCGCTGGTGGAGACATCCACAAAGGAAAAGACAATGTCCCTCTACGACCTGGTGCTCCACGCAGGGCTGCCACTTCCCTTGGCGAAGAATCGACCGCAGAGTCGAGTTCTGCAGCTGAAGCCCGGAAACCTCAAGAGCCAGAAAGACTCATCACACCTCAATCAGCACAGGACTTCTCGGTACTGAAGTTGAACATGAATGTCCAAGGATTCACGCAGGCCGAGATTGCACATTCAATGAAGAAAGAATCAATAGCATCTTTATTGGATGGGAGAATAAATCAGAGTATAAGGCATTTGTTACGGCTGCGGGATCGGATTGAGGATACCTCCAGCAAAGTCCTAGTCACAGGTGACTTGAATGCCGGTAAATCGACATTCTGTAACGCGCTGCTGAGAAGGAAGATCCTACCGGAAGATCAGCAACCGTGTACGAGCATTTTCTGCGAGGTCTTGGACGCGAAGGAGAATGGCAATCTAGAGGAGGCGCATGCAGTTCACAAGGACGCCACGTACAATCGGAATGACGAAAGCACCTATGATGTGTACCCTCTGCAAGATCTAGAGAAAATCGTCACAGACAATCAAACGTATACACAATGTAAGGTTTACGTTAAGGACATCCGGACGATTGACGAATCGTTACTCAACAACGGTGTTGTGGACATTTCGATAATAGACGCACCTGGTCTTAATTCAGATTCTCTGAAAACGACTGCGGTTTTCGCGAGACAAGAGGAAATTGACGTGGTCGTATTTGTCGTCTCCGCCGCCAACCATTTCACTCTCTCTGCCAAGGAATTCATCTGGAACGCCGCACACGAGAAGGCGTATATCTTCATTGTGGTCAATGGATTCGACAATATCAGGGACAAAGACAGATGTGAGCGCATGGTCCTGGAGCAAGTTGCAAACTTGAGTCCAAGGACGTTCAAAGAGTCTTCTGAATTGGTACACTTTGTTTCAAGTAACGCAATTCCAGTCGCGCCTGCAATTGGTCCAGGTCCTCCCGGTGGTGACGGCGGCGGAGGTGGCAGCGGTAGCAGTTCTGGCCCTTCGAACGATTTCCCATCCCCGGATGACGATGACGAGATGCTGGGTAAGCACGGCGAGCCTGGATCGCCTCCGAGGAAGGACAAAGGAAAGGACAAGGAGAAGCTGCAGGACTTTGAGAAGTTGGAAGGCTCACTCCGACGATTTGTGCTCGAAAAGCGTGCTAAGTCGAAGCTCGCCCCTGCCAAAACCTATCTCCTCAATGTTCTCACCGATCTCAATTTGCTAGCTACCGTTAATCGCGATGTTGCCCAATCAGAGCTCGACCGCGTGTGGCAAGAACTTCAAGAGATCGAGCCAGCCTTCGAGAAATCGAAGAAAGCTCGCGCAGAAGTCAGCGATGATGTCGACAAGACAATCGAAGAGACATGCTCAGACATCTACAACAACACCCGCATCATCATCAACAACGCTATTTCCCAGGTTGCCGCCACTGATCTCGGCGTCCCATACCCTGGCCTTATGAGCGCCTTTCAATACGCCGAAGATGTTAAACAGGCTATGCTCGACCAGATTTCCCAAGCGGTCTCAATTTGCGAAGAAAAGGCCAAGCATCAGACAATCGGCAGCGTCAACACCATCAAATCTCTAGGCGTACTACATCTTGGTGACGAGTACAATGACTTGAATTTCAACTCGGATCGGATGTTCACAAAGAGACGAGACCTACTAGCCCGACAAGTCGATTTCGAAATCGAGTTTGCGGATTTCTTCGACATTAGCAGTCTCTGGGAACAAAATGAAAAAGTCGCAGGTACAGGCATGGCTTTGACGGTAGCAAGCGTGCTGGGTGGACGCATGATGGGCGGGTTTGGCTGGGTAGACGGAGCTGTCGGCGCCGCTAGGGTTATGGGAACGCAGAACATGCGGAGACTCATCGTTCCGGGTCTCATTGCAGCAGGTACGTCCACTTTCCCCCTCCCATCTCCTCCTTTCCCAGAAGCTCGCGCTGACTGACCTGTGATACAGTGGTTCTGGCAACGACCTACACCCTCCACACAATTCCCACTACACTCCCTCCTCGCCTCTCCCGCCGCATCTCCTCCACCCTGTCCGCTTTGGACTATACCCACACCAACGCCTCCCGCGTCTCCACCGAAACCCGCAAAATCCTCCGTTACCCTGCCGAAAACTTGCACGCTGGGCTTCAGCAAAGTGTTAGAGAGCTGGGGGAGAAACGGGAGGAGAGGGTCAAGGTTAAAAAGGAGTCAGAAGTTGCGAGGAGGTATTTCGGGAATTTGGTTAGGGAGACGGGGGAGGGTCGGGGGAGGGTCGAGGATGTGGATCTAGAAGGCGCGCAGGTCCCGGGGTTGGCGGGGGGGTATGAGGAAGGTATGATGGTTTGAGAGATGGGAGAGATGGTCCACCTGATGAAGGGTCTCTTGCCTGGCGTTAGCGGGAAATGAACGTTGTATCCCTACCGAAGCAGGCGTTGTCAATTGATCACAGCGAACACCGGTGGCCGGCTCTTTAACTCCACACACTTTTTTTTGGACCGTCATGAAGATGATGGCCCTCTTATGGAAGTGCGACGCGTCTTGACCAATAGAATCTTGGCTTGGAGCATTGACCAGGAATGAATATGTGACATGTATCGGAATATTTACCCTAAAACCAAACAAAGCCGCAACGTCGTAACTCATGTCTCCGTAAAGGGTCTTTCGGACATCAACTCATTCGATCACAGACCTCCTATCCCTTATATATATAGACATACCGCAGCGACCAAGTCTTGCATGTGATTCAAAACTCCATCGCGCCTTCCCCAAACCCATCGCCTTTGTACCCACTATCGTTAACCAGCTTACCCAACACCTCAAGGTTGTTATGCGTTTCGGGCCCGAAGGCGCCAAACCACGGGTTATCCCCACCTTCCACACCGTCATTCCCAAGCAGTGGTTGAAGATCAAGTGTGAGCCAGTCCGAAGGGAAAGCCATGGGGTCGTCACCGTTTGAATAGAAGGGTTGCTGTGGCTGATTATGATGTTGGTTTTGGTTAGGGGACTGCGTGAAAGTGTTGACGAAATTATTGTTGGGATTGAAGGAAGCATAGTTGTTCCCAATGGGCGGCATAATGGATATATTGCTGTCGTGAGGGGAATTGTAGGTGCGAGATATACCTGCAAGCGGACCTTGTCTATCATCGTATTGGAATCGATCAGAAGGGTTAAAGTTCTTTGTGCCGGTTTGATACCCATCGGAAGCAAAGTGGGCTTGCTGCTCACTGAGATGGGTGGTACGCTTTGCTTGCTCTGGGGTAGATAGAGACCCCGGAGGTAGTCTGACAAATTGGGTGTTAATTGCTTTTATCAAGCTCTCGAGAACATCGGCGATGCGTAGGCAGAGATGAACGTCGTCGACTACGCTGGTACGCAACGCTTTGACCGTATCTTTCAAAAGGCGCAGCGATACTGCTACTTCGTCCTCTTTCCCGCCGAGGGCGAAAGTCTGAAGGAATTGTGAGACGAAGGCAAATCGAATGGGCGAAAGGGCTCCTTTACCTTTAGAAGAAACATAGCAGCGGAGATGATTCGGAAATAAGTCCGCACAGGAGCATGCTTGAGATGGTCATTTGGGAGAAGAACGTCCAACACATGCCGTAAGACTGTTCTCGAGGAATCAATTACCTCTCGAATGTAAGGCTCGTTCCGATTGTAGACGCTTGCATAGGATGAGGACATGGTGGAAACGGGTGACTGCGGGCTTTCGCCTTGGGGAAGTGGATTGGCCTTCGCAGCCCAATGCTCCATCACAGCTTGAAGCGCCAGGGAATTGATGTAGAGAGCTGTAAGAGGTCAATGAGGGGAATTGATTATAATCGGCGTATAAACACTTACTGATGTAATGATACTCGATCGAAAGGATGACTCTGGGGTACACTGGAACTGTGCTCCGTTAGTCAGGTCTAAGGTGTCTACGTAGATATGTAACTCACGATCCAGAGCGTTGAACCTTTTTTGCCATGAATAAAGGAGAGGCTGAAGTTGGTGGAGTTCTACGATGTAGGCTTCAGTCTGGACCAGCTTTGTGGTTTGATCTTTAGACGAGAATAGCCGGTCGTTGCAGTCTTTCATTATGATCATCAGCTCAAGCCAGCTTTGCTGAGTCCTGTCTACAGGATC